GGGCGGACGAGAGGCGCTGTCGGTGCAGGCCTTCCCTCTGCGACTGCGATACGACCGGCTGAGGGGGCAGCTGCGTGAGCTGCGAGACTTTCCCCAAGAATTGCCTGGCTTAGCCCAGGCGAGTGCCTGCTCCCCTCGCTACGGGGCGACGGACGAAGAGAGGGAAAGGAGCCTGGGCTGGCTGATAAGGGAGCGTGCCCAGCTGTTCCAAAGGTCTGTGTGTGTGTGCGTGTGTGTGTACACACCTTGATGCTTTTTGGGCTCCAGACTGCCTTTCTGAGCCTGATGCCAAGACCTGGGGCAGCCTGTGGGTCAGGAGGAGGCGGTGGTGGGGGTTAGGGAGCAGTGATGAAGCTGTCCCTTTTGGAAAGCTGAAGGCCTGTGTTGGGAAGCTTGGCTGTAAGGGGAAGAAAATCACGAAATTTGCTAAGATCACATACTTATTAAATAAGTACCTTGGGGTGAGCCGGTGCGGGTCAGGTATTGCTGTCCTGAGAGGTGTTTCGCTTCCTACTCTTCCCCTCCCAGCTCTGCCCCTGCCCCTTGCTCCTGCCCCGCAGCCCCCCCACTGGTGTGGCCCAAGCCTCTGGCTTTGCACTTGCCCCCTCGCCGTGCTGTGACACCTTCGAGCGTGTGACTGTCCTTGGTGGTGGTGGTGGGGTGGGCGTCACTGCTGAGTCCCTGTTTCGGGGCTGCACGTGGCACCCTCCCCGATGGCCTGTCCGGCTCCAGGACAGCCCTGTACCTGGAATACAAGCTGGCAAAGCTGCTGATCCGCCCGCTGGCTGAAGGCCCTGCAGGGAGCCGGCACGGGGTTCGCGGGTGCAGCCGACAGTCCAACGGCACCACTGCCTCCAGCCTCCCCAGTCGCCCCTCGGCACCGAGGTGGCCGACGGGGATCCCCAGCTGTGAGCTGCCGAGGCCTCTGAGGTGGACCCGCAGCACCCCAGCCCATCTAGGTGAGTGCCTGTGCAGCTGCCCCACGGTCTCCCCGCTCCAGCCGTGGGTCTGCCTAAATGCAGGATGCCTGCTTGGGGGCTCTGCCACATTTAAAGCCCGTTGCAGAGCAGAAACGTCAAAAGACATCCGGAAGGATGCAAATGCCCCGACCGTGCCAGTTCTCTGCCCAGCCCACTGACCCTCTCCGAGCCCACCTCCGCAGTGCTGCGCTGTGCTCACCAGGCACGCATGCCCCCTCTCCCACCCATGGCACAGTCTGGCCGCTCGTGGTACAAGACTCCTTCCCTGCGGGTTTCGCTGACGGGGGGACGCACTGGCTTGGCTGACAATATCTCCTTCAGCAACTGCCGCTTAGGGAGGGGCATCAGTGAGGCAATTTGTAAGAGGTGACCATCTAGCCACGCCATTTGGCAGCGGACCTCAGCCTCTGCTCATCCCAGGGCAGCGATACTGGCTGGTAATACACATACACCATGGGCAGGCAACATGCAGCTTGGATCTTCCTACTGGCTTCAAGAACCATGCGAAATACAGGCCTGCAAGCAATGCCAGGAGTCTTGGGGATGTCCCTGAGACACAGGTTGGGGGTGGCCCTCATGGTACTGGCTTGCGCAGAGCTGGAGAAGCCCAGCTTGTGTTCGTTGCTCCTGCTCTGCTGCTGGCTACCAGCTTCTGCAGGGGTGGGATTCAGGTAGTTCTGGGTCTGCCTGGCCCCTGGGGCTTTCCAGTCCCCTCTCCACCTTGACACAGATTCTCCTGACAAACTTTCCCTCTGATCTCTCCTTACAGACTACCTTTCAGATGTTCCTGACTCCTTGCCCAGGAAGCCCTCCTCGGAGGCCCTCACTTCCATGGGCCTGGGGCAGGCTCCTTCTGCAGCGTGGCCAAACAAATTGCAGTGCTGGGCCCTCCTCTCCAGCTTCAGCGCTGGATGGCCCTGTGGTGAGATTGCCATGTGCCCAGAGAGGTGGGCAGAGATGCGTGCCAGCCTCTGTGCATGTGCTAGAAGCCCCTCTGAGAGTTTGCTACCTGGGCAGCCACGCTTTCTGGGACACGGTGTTCAGAGCAGCTCGGTCCTGCTTGGAGGAGAGGGGCTACCATCACCAGCAGGACATGTAAAGCAAAGTTTCTGGCCTTCTTCTGTAACTGTAGGATATCTCATAGCAGCTTTGCCAAGAATCAGCATACTCACTGTGGCATCCTGGCCGCGCTCCAGTGGCGCATCCTGCCTCCCTGATGCCCTCTGTAGCAGTGTTGGAGGACAGCATTTTGGGGCGCTTCCTGCCCTGAGCCCCTGTGTTGCATGGCTGTCAAACAGCTGCTGTGCTCTGCCCCAGAAGTAGCTGCATTGTGTATCTGGGGAAGCAATCTTGCCATCAACAGCACAATCACAGATGCTGTGGGCAGAGGAAACTTTACAGAATGAGGAAGAGCTCGGTGGGGTATAGAGTGGGTTTTACTTCTGGTTTCAATTGCAGGAGGTTACTCCTCCAGTGACTACAGCCTCCTGCATCTGGGAGGTAGTCACAGGGGAGCTTTAGCCACCAGAGCTAGGGATATATTCTGCAAGATTTGGACTTATTTCTAATATTCCTGGTGTCATGGCAACAGGAGGACCCCCGATCAGTTGGACCCGTGCTGGCGATGCAGAAGGCCTGAGCAGAGCTGCCCCTCACGGTGAGGGCACTGCCTCTCACCTAGGCGGGTAAGGACTAAAAGGGTCAGTGCGTGTTACATAGGAGAGTCTCAGCGTGAGTGGCCATGTCAAATCGTAGTGTGCCAGGGGCTGAGCTGAAATTGGCCCTGAGAGCTAGCGGTGGCTGTACACTGCTTCCTGAGGATGGAGGATGGGGTCCTAGCCATTTGGTGGTGGGCTGTGAGGTGGCACACAGTGGGGACAACAGGCCTGGGGAGCTCGGTGGAGGAGAGGAAGGAGATGCCTCCATCTCTTAGTCCATGACTTGTCCAATATTCAGGGGCTGTGCGCTTATGGGAAAGAGAGCATGTAATTTAATCGTCTGTCCTGCTCTGGGCTTGGCCCTTTAAGTCTTGTGCCAGGTCTTGATCCTTCTTTGGCTTTAGCAAGAACTATTACTTTAGATCTGTCCAGTGTGATGCTGCTGGGCATTGCATGACTTCCCTTGGGGACCCTCCTGTACCAAATAATGGGAAATACATTACATTGGGGTGTGCCGGAGGTTGGACTGTCTGCAACCCCAGGATCTGGGGATCAGAACACAAGACTGAATACAATCTGCTCTTTTTTTTAAAACTCTGTTAAAAACAAAAAAAATCCAAGTAGCAAGATGTAGGTGGCCTTTCATGCAGAAGCATTGATGCACGTATGTGCTGACATCAATGTGATACATGTTGTGAGTATGTGGCGTGTGCGATACCAGGAGCAAGGGCTGTCATGCTCTTGGGCTCCCAGCAGGCTATGTTGCCGACACTTGGGGCATGGTATTTGCTCTTTAATTGAAGGTTACTCTCCTATTTCTGGTAGCTGCTTTGCGATGGACTGTCCTGCAAGCCTCCAGGGCAGTTTTCCCACTGTGGTGGGGAGGAGAGCCCAGCAGGAAGTAGTGCAGAGCCACTCCTGCAAAGAGAGCTTTTGGGTGGGCGGTGGGATAGGGCAAGGCCAGTATGCAAACTGGGCAGCGATGTGGGAAGAGCTGGGAAATGTGGTGCTTCCAGCCAGGCCATGTCCAGGTGATACTGGGAGTCTCTCCTGCTCCAGCAGTGCCCCTGGCTGTGTCCTTTCTTCCCATGGCAGGTGTGACAGGGAGCTGTCCTCAGGAGCCAGTACTGGGCTGCAGCTGGACGTGGCCGAGGCGAGTGACTCTGAGGGGGAAGAGGAATCCTGGCTCCTTGGGGACCTCCCCACGCCTGTCCTGCAGCGCCTGAAGGAGGATGTTCTGGGCACGGTGAGGCATGTGGGGCTGAGGCGATGGGGTATTGTCAGCCTTGCCCCTGGAGAAAACCTCAGTGGGGTCCCCAGGACTCTGCCAGCCAGACATGAAGCATACGGAGAAGGTGGAGTTGGTATGGCATTGCAAGGGTGGCTGAGACTTGCATCTAACAGGGGAAACAAGTCACAGAGACTCCCAAAGACATTCTTAAAGCCAGGGGTTTCCCTAAAGGTATATATGCTCGGGAACCTCCGAGCTCCTGCAGGCAGCTGATGTGGGGAGAAGAAGTTGAGCCCTCTGGGCTGAGGGCTGGGGGGGGACTCCAGCCAAGCTGCCCAGTGCTGTGGCAGCGACCACAAGAGTGACATGGTGGAGGGGCTGCATCTGGTCACCCCGTGGCAGTGGGGTGCCAGCCCTCAGATGCCTTGCTGCTCCCCAAAAACCCCTCAGGGCCAGCCAGGCTGCTCAAGGAGCTCGCAGGAGGGCCCTGGAGCTTGGCACCCCCTCACTACCACCTACACTGCAGAAGGCGGGCATGGACACCTTCCAGGAGTTTCTCCATGGCACCCTGGGGCTCCGGCTCCTTCACCTGTGGCTGGACTGCGAGGATTTCAAGGAGTGCACCCGATGCCTAGAGGCCAATGCCACCAACCAGGAGGCTCAGCTCTTCCGCACAGACCTCCTGCGGTAAGTGTAGGTGTCCAGAGGGATGGTACTGCTCCTTCCAGAGCACATGGGGGCTGTGGTCCATGTGCTGGGGCCAGCCCTGTGCCTTACCCTCTGGGCTCAGTCTTGTTTTTCTTCCCCCAGGCACATTCAGGAGAAGTATGCGCTGAACCTGTTTCCCAGCAGCCTGGTGAATAGTGGGGCCTGGGGAGGTTTTCCTGCCCCTCCACATGGGTGGCTGGTGCTGCGGCTCTGCGTGGCACCCTGTGGCCACTGGTGGGGATAAGGGAGCCCTGGCATGGGGCTGCCTTCCCTAGCCCTGAAACCAGCCCTACCTTGTACTGCTGTGGTGCCCAGGGCCAGCGTGGCGTCCAGGCTGCTGGCATTGTTACTGCAGTCCCTGCAAGGGTGGTGGGCAGGAGCCGGGCACTAGGATTTTCCCCCAGCAATCCCTGGCCTCTGAACTGGTGGAGGCAGTGGTCACAGCCCAGAGTGGTGACTAACGTCAGGAAGGGCCCTCCTGATGCCTGGTTGCCCAAGCCCGGCAGGCTACGCAGCCGTGGCTCCCTGTTCTCCTCTCTTTCCTGGTGTCAACAGCCATACGAGACCCAGGGCAGAGCCCCAGAGACGTTTGCCATCCTCAGCAGGACCCAGTACGATGCCCTGAGGCGCCTGCGCTCCTACTGGGTTCCCAGGTTCCTCATCCACCGTTGGCGAGCTGCATGCCTCAGGTCGGGACCCTGTGTAGTGCTGATGTGTGTCTGCTGCGGGAGGGCTGGGGTTCCTTGTGGTACCGGACAAACCGCAGCTTGCATTGGGCTACAGTGCTTCTCATCCCCTCGCCGACCACAGAGGCCATGGGCAAGGAAGATGGGACTCAGACCCACCTCTGCCCAGGACTCAGCAGCTTTCTCCCTCATGGCAGCAGAGGGTTACAGGGGTTAGGAGAGCACGTGAGGGAGAGCCGTCTTCCCTAGAAGGAGATGGCTTGGCTTCCTCCCTCTCCTTCCTCCCTGACTCACTGCATGAATCATTCAGTCCCATCATTTCCCTCTGGCCCAATTTTCCCCTTTCACGATTAAAAAAAAAGAAAGAAAGAAAAGAAAGAAATGTTTGAAGAAGTCAGATGTTCTCCCCGGTTTAGTTTGCCTCTGTTGTAGGCTGGCACCCAAGCCCGGCCAGAAGCCCAAGACTTCCCTGCCTGCCACCTTCCTGCCTTCACTGAAGGTATTTGAGCTTCTTCCTCCTGTGGGAGACCAACATGGGGATACCGTGGACAGAAGCACAGGCTGGTTTTGCGTAGGTATCTTTGTTGAGTGGGTGGCCGAATCCAGGGCTGATAGCTACGCAGGAGCCTGCAGTGGTGAGAGGCTGAAGCCACACTGGGGGCAAGAGTTCAGTTAAAATAGTATCAACACACTCTCTGGTTCCCTCAGTGCTTTGCTAGCCTAGGGCTTACTATTCAGCCCCCGCTTCAGGGATTTGCCATTAGATAATAGGGAGGAAATGCAAGCTGATCCACCCCCAAGGATCCGCAGGGACTGGGAGGGCTTGGGAGAGGTTGGAGAAGGAAAAGAGCATGGGTGAGAAGAGCCAAAAATATGACTTCCACTCTCCCTCTGCCATTTGAGACATCCTGGGCTCTGGCTGCGGATGACTGTTAACGGTTGCTGGGTTTTATCACTGGTTATTTCCCCTCCCACTAAGCTTGGTCTCGAGCCATGCCTGTAGGTAGAGCTCTCCTGTTTTCCCGGGTGCATCTTTCACTGAAGGCATGCTGCCAGTAGAGCCATGCTGGGCTGTGTGTTTGACGCAGGTTCGGCGCTCTGCAGGGAGTGGGAGAGGCAGCGGGGAGCCATGCTGGCAGCCGAGCATCCCGTGGCACATTCCCAAGACACCCTGGACCTCCCGCATCCTCCGTGCACTGCAGTGTGACCTGAGGGATGGTGGAGGCTTCCTTTACTACCTGACCAGGTGAGGCCGTCTTGCGCCCCTGCCTCTTCCTGGTACCCCAAGCAGCCTGGGGAGCAGCTGCACTGCTGGGATTTGCTGCTGCACCCCTCTGGCTGCAACAGCCAGGGCTCCCAGGGGCAACCTTGGTCGTGTTGTTTCTCTCTGTGAAGTCCTTGAGCAGGCAGGGTGGCTCTGCCCCCATCAGCTACTCCTGAGGAGACAGGCCAGGGTCACCAACTTCACTGCTTTCCTGCTTCCCCCCACCCCCAGGTATGCCGATGCTCAGACAGTCCAGAGCCTGCTGCTGTGGCAGGCGCTGGAACAGCACTGGCTGGCGTGGGAGCAGCAGGCGGATGAGACGCAGTGGCACCATGCGGCCTGGCACATCTTCCACACATACCTGGCACCTGGTGCTCCCCGCAATGCTGGTAAGGCCCCACAGCTGGATTTGGCATTGGCACAGCCAGGGTTGCAGGGGGAACGATGGAGGCTTATGGCATGTTGGCACATGGCAAGTGGAAGTCTTTAGCTCCTGGATGTACTGGGTTATGTCCTGCTGATGTGAGGTAGTGCCTGTGGGACCTTCTTTTGTGTTATGTGGGAACCAGGTTTCTGGCATGCACTGGAGGAGTGCTAGTCCCCATGGACAGAAAGAGCTTCCCAGAGCCCCTCCTGACCTTTCTGCTTGCAGACAGCCTCTGGAGCCAACCTCCAAGATACTTTCTCCTCCCTGCAGGACTCAGCTCTGACATGCTGCCTTACATTCAGCAGCTCCAAGACATGCTCAGCTGCTGCCGTGGACCGCGGGGCCCCATGCTTTTTGAGCCTGTGGCTCAGCGTGTGTTTACCATCCTCCACGTGGCTTGGCTCTGCTACTGCCACTATGAGATCACCACCTTCCGGGAGTGAGTCCTAAAGAACATGGGGTGCGGCACCGCGGTTCCCCAAGGCAGCATGCCCCGTGCTGGGTGGCATGGGGAGCACCTAGAGAGAGCTGGGATTGCCTCAGGGGTTACTCACAGAGCTCCTGCAGAGCCTGAGCTCTCGGCCCATCTGTACAGCTCTTGCAGCGGGGCAAGGCTGCAAGGTGAGGGTGGGTGAGGTTCCTCACCTTGGCAGGGTGAGGAATTCCTTCAGAACTGGCACTCGCTCTTCGCTGCCAGCTGGCCACAGCTCCTGATGGGATGGGGCAATTATGTTGGCTTTTAATCAATCCCCCCTTTACATTGCACCAGGAAAGTAATTCTGACTGGTAGGCATGCTTGGGAGAAGGCCCTTGCTGACACACATGCTCCACTTGCTCATGGCCCCTGTCTTGCAGATGCTGCGTGCCTGTCTCTCACACTGAAGCCCAGGCTACCAAGAGCAAAGCTCATGAAGCAAAGAAGGCAAGAAGGCACAAGTATGTCCTTTCTGTTTCCCTTTTGCCAAAGTCAGGTAGCTGCTTGAGATTCAGGCTGGCAAGTCCTGCATTGCACATGCCCTTAAAGGACCTCAGGGGTCCATCTGGACTTAGAGAGCTGTTGCCAACTTGACAGCACCTGTTCACAGCAAAAAACCCATCATCTCTTAATTAGGTTCCTGCTTCCCACCGTCCTTTCTGTGCGTGTGCACAGTCTTTGCTGTTTGGACTTGTAAATGTGTGTCCAGGGTACTGCTTGCTCTTTAGATCCCTGATGAATAAAAGAGAAGGCAGGTTGCTGTTTTAGTCAGAGAACTATATTTAAAACTTATGTCTTGTTCCCCCAAGCCCTGCATCGCTTTACTTGTCACTGAAAAGTAGACGGTTTCAGCCAGAAACGTGGCAGCTATTGCGTCTGTAGCATGGGACGTGAACGTGTTCCCCTTCTGTGGCAGGAAAAGGGGAAGGTAGGATGCAACTCTTTGGACTGGGATTTGGCCAGGAGAACAGCGTGAAACGCTGTTTCCTAGAATCAGGAATAGTCCGGCATGACTAGGTCCCAAAAAACAGCATTTCTGTAAGTGCAGCAACCCATAGTACCAACCTGGGGTCATACGGGCAATACAGTTGTCTCCACAAAGCTACTCTTTGGTAGGCTGAGACATTTTTTTTCCTTCAATTACAGAGCAGTGTTAGTGCTACTGATCTCATGAGATCAAATAAGATCATGACTTGGTTATGCTGTGACCTCATTGCTGACCCACTTAAATCCTTGCAGACTCAGAAAGAGCAAAGGAAATACTGAATTTCATGCCCAGGAAGGCCAGGAGCAGCAAAGGAGAAAAAAAATGCAGTCCAAACTGGAAAGTTCCCCTAGCACTGCCGTGACCAGGGGAGGAGAAGAGCCAGTGCCATGGCAGCAGGCTGCAGCCCTGCTCACTAACCAAGTAGTTTTTAGGGTTTATAGGAAGGCAGTGGAAGAGATACAGCTTTCCTGTGTGCAGAGGGTCCTGGATCTGCTGCAGACACTGCAGTTGTGCCTCTCAGCCTCAGAGGACGGGAAGCGACTCAGCCACACACGGACACTCCTGGATCTCTGGAAGCAGCAAGGGATGGGGCCAGACAGTCCTCAGCTCCCTGTAGAGCTAAAGAAGAGGCTGAAAGCAGAGATGACCCGGGGAGCAGTGAGCAACTCAAGCCTGGAAGAAATCCAAGGGGCCTTATTTTCACATGTTGCCCCAGCTTTTGAGCAATTCTGGGCTGAGGTGAACAAGGGATTGAGCAGGCATGGTGTGAAGCCCTCCCAGATCCAGGGAGATGGCTGGTCCAGTCTTGAGCCTCTTCTGCACACACTGGCTTCCAAAGCGGCCGTCAAACACCTCACAAAGAGGGAAGCCAAGGTCACATCAGTTGCTACGGCCCAGCCCAACCTGGATGACAAAGCCACTCTCAGTCGCTCCCTTCAGGCTGCTGCCAAGGGCTGGCCAACCCTGGAGATGCTCCATTTCCTCAACCACCTGCAAGTGCACGGACCTGCCATGCTGGAAAATGGCCTGCGGTTCCAGCTGGAGGTGCAGAAGTTCAAGAATGCCCATCGCAGCGGTCCCAACAGGGCCTTCCTGCGGAGGAAGGTTCGGGTGATCCGGGACTGCTTCCTCCTCTCCCAGTTAGAGCCCAAACTGCAGGTATGCCTCAGGCAGGGGCAGAGGGGGTGACAGGGGATGAGGCTTGCTGGAGAGACCTCTGTTGATCAAGCTAGTGGCGGAAGAAGGGTGCGCAGAAAAGAGGGTCTTGCTTTGCTCTCTATATGGCAGCAGTTAGTAGGGTGGGGCAAGAGGGCCATTTCCCTCTGGATGAGACGCTACAATGAACAGCAGTAAGCAGACCCCCTTGCTTGTTGGCTTAATCTGGGGTAGCGTCCTGGGCTGTTGCACTTCACTTCTAAGAAATCCAAGCAGCTGCTGATGCAGCAGTGGAGGCCAAACTGGCCTGGAGACAGCTGGGCTGCTCAGGACTAGCCTCATCCCCCATGGCATTTGGGTGTCGCAAAGTGATTCTCCCCAGCTTGAGCATGTCTTTTGGCTGATCCTGCAGTTGGCCGTGGACACAGAGAAGCTGGAGAGGGCTGTGCAGACGATTGAGCGCGCCCTGCTCAAGGATGTGCCTCTGCCGCCTCCAGGGCTGTTTGATGAGCTGTGCGACTCAGTCCTCAGCAGCCTCCTGCCATACTGGGCTGCCTTCCGGAAAGCCTGGCTGCAGAGGTCACCCGAGAGTGCTCACAGACCCCCTGGTAGGATTGTCGTACGGACACCCCTGTTCTGCTTCAGAAGCCCTATAACCCTTGCTAGATGGCGTGCATACTGTGAAGGTTGCGGTAGGCCCATCTTAAGGTACAGCTGTCATGTAACTGATACCTTTTGGTTTCCTCAAAGTGCCTGGAATTGGCTGCAGGATCCCTCCGCTTTCCCTCCATGCCTCTGCTTAGGGAAGGTGAGGGCAAGTAGGGAGCTCATTTCTCCCTGTAGGGCTGGGTCTGTCACTCTTAAGAGTGGGGAGCACACTCAGAACGGCTGCTTTTCCCGTGGGACACAGGAGGGGGAGAGGATAGCTGGAGTGTTCGTGACGGGCAAGGGAAAACAAGAGGCCAGGCCTGCGTTGCTTACTCATTGCACCAGTCTCCTTCCACAGTGCTGAGACGCCAACAGCTCCTGCAGCACAGACAGGCCTCCTTTGAAAGGCCCCAAAGCCCTCTGCCACCGGTCCAATTGCCTCTGTTGCAGCAGCCCTTGGCCATCCAGAGGAACGCTGGGGGTTTGACTTACACCTTCTCCATCAGTAAAGGCATTACTGTGAAGGTCAGTTCTTGCACCCTTGCATCTAAAGGGGCTGGGCAGAAGTTTACAAGGGGGTCAGTGGCTTTTAAGCTAAAAAACAGGCCAAAGGGGGTTAATTCTGTAAGGCTGCTGCTGGCAAGCTCAGGATCTGCTTTTGGAGCATGATGCAGGAGCAGCTCAACCCAACATTCGTCTCCTCCTCCTCACACCTACTCTCCAATATTGAAAGGAGACATCATCTGAGTAGCAGCTATTAATAAAATAATATGAACGCACACAAAAACACCCCTGGAAAGCACTTTCTCATCCCTTCCCCTCCCCGCCCCATCCAGTACTTCTATGACTGAGGTGAAACACAGCAGCCGTTTTAACGCTGGGCACTAACAGTGCTTTTGAACAATGGCATGACACGTCCCACTCAGCCCTGCTTTGTTCTTTGCCCACCCTCTCCAACAACCCTACAGCCTTGCCACAAGATCCCCTAAGTGCTGGTCCGGATGTTCCAGCTCTCTTCCCTTTGCACAGGTTCCCAGCAGAGACCTTACAAGCACGAGCAGTACCTCCGCATCCAGAAATGGAAAAAGGTCACCGACACCACGGCTCCCATCTCTTCCCACAGTGCCGGTGCTCTTTTGAAGAGGACAGCAAGCGCTCTGTATTCCAGCACTAGAGACTCTTTGTTAATGCTACCAAGGGGAAAAGCAATGAGGTGGTGGCTGGAGAAAGGGAAAAGCTCTGAGAAAGCACTGAGCTGCTCTACCACAGGGTAAGGAAACAGGCTGAAGGGCAACCTGTGGTGAGCAGCAACCTGCACTGCTGGAGGGGTGATGAAATGGCCTGTGCTGTCTCTTGGCAGCAAGGGCAGATACCAAGGGACCTCAACTCACTGTTCTCTTTGCAATAAGCCCTGTTTTAACCTCCCTGGCTGGAAGGAGCTTTTACTGAACCAGAGCTGGAAGGAGCTTTTACTGAACCAGACAGCCTGAGGCAACTGTCTGCATCCTCGCTGTGGTTGTAGAAGCTGTTAGTGCTTTGGGGAAGTACAGGCAGATAGCTGGGAGCATTGCCAGCCCCTGAAGGCTCACTCTATTCCTTCTGCTCCCAAGTCCTCCTGTTAACATCAGGCACTTACACAAGTGCAAGATCCTGCCCTCTGCAGAACCAACTTCCTGGCACTTAGAAAAGATGTATAGGAGCAGCACGAAGACCAGCACGAAGACCACTTCCTGCTACATCCTCTTGACTTATGGTACCCATTCATATCTATACGAAGATCAAGCACTAGGCAAACACCTTCATCTGCAGAACCTGCCTTACAAATCCACGTTGCACGTAGTTGCAGTGCGTGGGGGCAGTGCGGTGCCCCACTGGCCAAAGGGCTGATTGTTCCTGAGGCCTGTATGTGCGGCTCAGCTCTCTCCTGGCTACGTGGCATTTATTTGAACCCTCTCTCCTCCAATCACTTCCGGTCTGCTCTCAGCTACTGAAAGCTCCTCACATCAGTCTGCCAAGGCCATTCAAAATCACCTTCCTGCC